TGGTGAGTAGCAAAACAAGAAGTTCAATTCCTCTAGCATTCATGTTCATGCTTCAAGCTCAATCGATTCACCTGAAAAAAAAAACATGATTCTTGCTTTTTCCTTGATATGAAAGTCAAGAGAAGATGACGTGTGAGATCCCACGTCAATTGGGAGGAGAACGAAACATTCTTTATAAGAGTGTGGGAACCTCTCCCTAGTAGATGCGTTTTAAAAACCTTGAGGGGAAGCCCGAAAGGAAAAGCTCAAAAAGGACAATATCTGCTAGCGGTACGCTTGGGCTGTTACAAATGATATCAGAGCTAGACACCAAACGGTATGCAAGCGAGGACGTTGAGCCCCAAAGGGAGGTGGATTGTGAGATCCCACATCGATTGGGGAGGAGAACGAAACATTCTTTATAAGGATGTGGAAACCTCTCCCTAGTAGATGCATTTTAAAAACCTTGAGGGGAAGCCTAAAAGGAAAAGCCCAAAGAGGAAAATATCTACTTTGGGTTGTTACAAATGGTATCAGAGCTAGACACTGAGCGGTGTGCCAACGAGGACGATGGGCCCCAAAGGGGAGTGGATTGTGAGATCCCACATCGATTGAGGAGAAGAACGAAACGTTCTTTATAAGGATGTGGAAACCTCTCCTTAATAGACGCATTTTAAAAACTTTGAGGGAAAGCCCAAAAGGAAAAGCCAAAGAGGACAATATCTGCTAGCGGTGGGCTTGGGCGGTTACAAATAGTATCAGAGCTAGACACCAAGCGGTATGCAAACGAGGACGTTGGGCCCCAAAGGGAGGTGGATTGTAAGATCCCACATCGTTTGGGGAGGAGAACGAAACATTCTTTATAAGGGTATAGAAACCTCTCCCTAGTAGACGCGTTTTAAAAACCTTGAAGGAAAGCCCAAAAGAAAAAACCCAAAGAGGACAATATCTACTAACATTGAGCTTATGCTATTACACGACGGATCAAAGAACACAAGAAAATATGTTTAGAAGAAAGGAAAACGAAGGAAGTGAGAAAGGATGAAGGCTAAACGATACACAAAACACGTTTTACATCGACAAATTCACGAAAGTTACTAACAAAATCATCGAGCTAGCCAACATGATTGAAGTCCCAAAGCACCCCACAAGACACAATCTCCAAAACTAGTAACCCAAATTTAACTCCCATGCCTAAACCAATCCGTAACAATGAGAAGAAAACACAAAACAACTAGCTGTTCATTTCAAATCTCAGTATTCTCTAAAAGGATTTACAAATTCCATCAAATTTGGCAAGAACTCAAACAAAGTAACGGTCCAAGCCCACCGTTAGCAGATATTGTCCTCTCTGGGTTTTCCTTTTCGGGTTTCCCCTCAAAGTTCTTAAAACGCGTCTTCTAGGGAAAAGTTTCCACACCAAGGGTATTCCGTTCTCCTCCCCAATCAATGCGGGATCTCACAACAACGCAGTATGCAAGCACGATAACATAAAATCATATGAGTTTCAACACAATGAACACTGAAGAACAAGAACTCCAATCTCCAGAAAAGAAGAAATCAAAGAAAGAAAAAGGGAATGACAGAAACCTTGAGCATCTATCAATTTTCATATCACTAATTCAAAAGCAAAACCAAGTGAGTCCTTATCTCTCTCAAGAAATAAGTCAACCCAACCCCCCCAGCAACCAACCACCACCATTTCTTGTAGGAGAGGCCAAAAACAAGGGAACCCCCAATTGCTCAAACGCCCAAATGCAAAGCCAAACACCAAAAACAAGACAGACCCAGAAAGGAAAAAGCAGAGAAAACCACAAAAACCATCGCACAAAGCTCAAATGAGGCAGCCATGGAAACACCCAAGTGAAGCAAACAAAAGGGCAAGCCATTAAAGAACAAAGCAACTCAAATGTGCAGTAATATACCTGAAAAAACAGCAACCATGGCGGATAAACAGGGTCAAGAAACAGAGATTTCAAAGAATCAGAGAGCAATTGAGGAATTGAAGAGGGAAAACAAGAACAGGGTTGAGGAACTCAATGTGCAAACGAAGAACATGCATCGGAAAACTCAATAGAACAAGAAATTTGGAATGGGATTGATATTATTGCAGCATTTTTGTGGGTTTTTTGGGCTCAGAGAAGGTGGTAAACTGGTGACATGGTGGTGTTGCAGAGAGAGAAGAAAAGAGAAATTGTGGGTTGGAAAAAGAGTTGGTTGAATTAGAGAGAACGAAAGGGTAATGGCTGTGGCTCTACATAAACTTTTTAATTCCGGAATTGCCCTTTCCATGCCATTCTAAATCAGCAATCTAGTATATATCTTTTTTATTATTATTATTATTATTATTTGCAAGAGCTGTGGACATTTATTTATGGAAATTATAGTAATTACATAGACCACGTGGCATAATACTAAATATTTATTAAAATATTATAATTTTAATTAAAGAATAATTTTTTTAATATTTTAATATATTGTTAAACTTAGGTTACAAGTTGATTGAGCGGGTGACGTAAACAACCCAACTAGTTTTTTTAATTATTAAAAAAAAAGGTTACATTAATAATTAAAATTTCATAAAATTTAAATGTCAAACCTATTAGGATCGGTTACAAACCTAAGATAGGGTTGAGTTGGACTGTAACCCTATTTTTGAGTTAGTTGGGTTGACCTGACCAAGAAAATGTTGACACTCAATTAGTCACGCTGGCTATTGGAAAATTTTATCCTTTTGTTTTCTACTCTGACGGCCCAACGGGTCATCTACTTAAATGAATCCAAGTTTCAGATGAGCTTCTCCCAATTATGTATGCTCGGGAGTCCTATTCCTTATACCGATGAGATAGTTCCAATTATCGTCCTTTCTCAAAAGTATGTTTTTCTGTGAACATGGCAGGTAAATCCACATATCCAACTGAAGTTTTTAGGTTGGGTTAGATAATAAAAATTGGTTGAGTTGTCAGGTCACGAGTAAAAACTAAAAAAATCTCTAAATTTTCATTTTTTTTTCTCGATTTATCGTAATTTAGTAATAATTGATATATATTTTCAATAAATAAATTAAAATTTTCTATCAACATAAATAAATGTCAATTATTATTGAGCTTAATTCCTTTGGCCCTTTTAAATATATATTTTTATTTATTTATTTATTTATTTATGTATTTATTGGGAAGGATTATTAACCAATTTTTTAATTTTTAAATTAAAGTTTTTAAATCATATTATTATTATTATTTTAAATAAATTAAACCTTAAAATCATATTTTCGTTGACATTTCCAGACATTATTGTTAAATTGACTTTATGTTTTGAGTTTCTAATTTTGTCACGTTTGTAAAAGAACGTCTCCATTTTTATTTTAGTTTATTTATAATTATTAAAATTAAATTTATACAATTCATTCAACAAAATTAAAAAAAAATATATTTTAATATTTCAAGTTTATTTTTCCGTTGGGAATCAATAAAATATAATAAATTTTATTAAATCACAAATAATAATAATAATAATAATAATAATAATAATAATGGGGTTTGTGAGGTACAAAATGACGAAATTGTCTTAAACAAAAGAATAATGAATCTATTTTTTTTGTCCTTAGTGCAACCCACTATTATTCGCCTTTAAAAATAACGGACGAATATTTATAATTAATAAATTCTTATAATTTTAAAATGTCTAATTAAAGTATTAAAAATTTAAATTGGATATTAAAAAAAAGATTTATTTTATAATAAAAATATAGTTTTTTAAATTATTAATTTTTAAAATTCGCTAAAATCTAAAATGAAAAATAATAAAAATAAATTATAAAATTCTTATGCAATTTTTTTAATATTTTTTAATTCAAATAATTTTAAGAATTTACAAATTTCAATGTAATTAAGATATGAGAAAAGAAAGAAAGAAATAAATAAAATAGAATTAATTGGAGAGTTGAATGTGAAGGAAGCATTAATTTGATTTTAGTATTTAGGTTGGCGTGTGAAGAAGACGAGGTCAGCAGATAATTAAATAAGAGATAATTTTTTTAAATATAAAAAAAAGGAAGGGCATTTTAGGAATAAGAGAAGTTTGCAAGGGTAGAAAGGGAAATTGGAAAAATTAATGATGGATGGAGTTGGGGTTGGTATGGTGAGGCTACGATGGGGCACCGACGAAATCGTGATTGGATAGGTGACCTGCCATTCATGCCATCACCAACCCAATTACCGTTTCTACCCCCGTAATTTTCACACCCATCTTTTTTTTTTCTAATTATTAAATATATTTTTCCCCTTAAATTTTAAATATAATTTTTATTTTTGAAAGAATAATAACGTTTTAATTAATTTAAATAGATAAATTATAATTAAATTAAAAATTGGCACAAAAAATAAAAAAATGAACCTTTAGTAGTCCCAGCGTGCTGGCTAGTACGCTCGACTTCAAGGGGATTGTGAGATCTCACATTGGTTGGAGAGGGGAACGAAACATTCTTTATAAGGGTGTGAAAACCTTTTCCTAATAGCGTGTTTTGAAACTGAAGTTGACAGTGATACCTAACGGGTCAAAGCGAACAATATCTGCTAGCGGTAGACTTGAGCTATTACAAATGGTCTCAAAGCCAGTTACTAGACGATGTTATGCACTGGTCGGTGTAGAACTACACCCCTCTACACAGTAGACATGTTTTAAAACCTTGAAATAAAGTACGAAAGAGAAAGCATAAAAAAGACAATATCTGCTAGCAGTGGGTTTTGACTGTTATAAAGGGTCGAAGTAAAATTCCATATATGCCTAGATATTTAGGTTTGTTTATATATTTAGATATAATAATTAATAGTTAATTATTAATTTTAATTAAGTATAAAATATAATTTAAAAAATGTTAATAAATTAAAATATTTTAACTTTTAATTTTATCTAAAAATGTCTAAACAAATTCATTTTTTATTAAAAAAAATGATTATAAAATATAAATATAAATTTTATTTCGAGTAGATATGTGCTGGGCGGTCCAATATGGTTCTATAAAAGCTGAAGCATTCGTGTTCGGCGCCTGTTCGCGGCATTTGCGATTGGGATTTTATTCAAAAGCTTAGACGCGCAGCAAATTAGGGTTTCGATCTGTGAAGGCTCAAAATTCATCACCGAGATCGATCATGATTTACGACGTTAACTCCTCTCTCTTCCGCTCCTTCCTCAGCCAGAAAGGAGGCTCTTCCGACAGGTGGTATTCTCCTCTATTTTAACACTCTATTGTTGTGTTCTTGTATCAATCGCACGAGTGCTAGAATTCTGCATCTTTCTTAGTAGGTTGGGATTTGAATGCACCTATCTAAGAGAATTTTAGAGTTTGTTAGAGTTTTCGAGACAAGTTTGTAAGAATACTAGAAACTATTCATTTGGAGCTTTATCTTTCATTTTTAGAAATTAGAAATTATGTTTGATACTCACTCTTAAATTATAATTTGAAAGATTTTTAAACTTCGTCGATGTAAATGTAATGGACATATTGTAATGATCATGGTTGATCGATGAAGACTGGATTCTTGTTCATTGCAAATTTTGGGGCATGTTGTCTGAATTATTATTTTTTTGGCTACTCCATTTAGAAATTTTTAAGAATTCCCCTTAGTCAACAACTTCACAATCAACTTTGTTGTGTATATAAATTCTACGTCGGGTAAAGAAAGTGCTTTGTCTTCTCGTTGTCTTCAACTCCTAAAATATTCGGTTTGTGATCATAAGCATAAGATCTAGTTTGAAGTGCTTCTTTAATCATCAAGAGAACTTGTCTAATGATTTTTTGTGTAGCCTACCTGCTTGTCATCTCTCTCTCTTCCATTCTTGAGCCTGAAACTTCTAATCTGTTTTCAGAAGGTTTGGGGATCTGAAAATGCATTAAAGTAACACTCTTTAGATGGATGGTTTCTTTTAAGAGGGATGGAGAAGACGTAGGAGGAGACGTGGGAGTTTGTGAGGTTTAATGCATCTTTGTAGGCATCTGTTAAATGGACAATTTTGTAATTATCAGCTTGGTGTCATTCTTTTGGATTGCAGTCCATTCCTGTAGCTAGTTGCCTAGTTGATGAGGACTCTTTTTGTTGACTTGTTTTTGTATGACCTTGTTATTTCTTTCATTTATCTCAAAGAAAGCTTGGTGTCTTACCCCCCAGAAAAAGAGAGAGTCAAAACTGTCAAACTTGGGATTTGATCTTTTCTCATGCCGAGTTTCCTTGTCTTGTTGTTTTTTATGCTACCTTTTGTTTCTTAATTTTGCGATAAATTTCACCATTTTCTTGTTAATCTTCTTTTTCTGTAATACTTAGTTTGGAATGATAGACTCGCTACATAATTAACTTGGAAACCTATTCGTTCTGTCTGACTGAGCTTCAAGTCAACCTCAATTTAATCTTCGGGCTTTTGTGGTTGCAATGCAACCATGTAATTAAATCTTGAATGTGAAGCACATACATTTGAGCTTGGATAGTGTATCAATGTCCAACATATATTTGGCACACTTCAACACCTATTGAACACATGTCAGAGGCTTTTTATGGACGTGCCAAACATTTATTAAACATGATGGACATGTATTAAGGTGAACAATTGTCAGACGTGTAGAAGGACACTTGTATTTAAGTCTTGTGGCATTTTTTTTAAATGGACTTTAAAAAATGTACATGAGATAAGAAGTATTTGACTTGTTTTCTAAGGCATATGAATGCATATGCATTATTGACTTTAAACTTAACGTAGAAAAATGTTGGGTTAGGTTTTGTTTATGAATGTTTTCTTGTAAATTACTACATGATCAGAAGTTGGTGATTAGTTTCTTCAACCTTTGTAACCATTGCACATTTACAATTATTATTGGAAAATCGACAAAAATGTGGACTTATTTACAACTTGCTGAATGATACAAAGCGTTGAACCATTTTTCTTTCAGTTCTTATTGAAATCCATCCATTGATCCTGAAATATTTTTTTTCCATTCTTTATATCCCTTGATGTGCCGTAATTTGTTGCATTACCTAGCTTAGAAACTGGTGTTTTTTCTACATGCTTCTTGTGCCACGTAAGCTTCTCTTGAGATTTGACCTGATGAGAGTGAGGTTAAGGGCTTATGATGTTCTTCAGCGTTTAATCTTTGTCTGAATTGAATGGTTTAGGAAAATGGAGCAGAAGCCGAAAGAACAGAGACCAAAAGCCAGTGAGAATAAGCCTGTTATGTCAGAATGAGAATGAGTTGTTTAAATCCTTACCGATTCTCTTCCGTTTTAGTAAAGTTCTTAAAAATTAAACACAAAAATGGAGTTTGGTTGAAGTTGTAGAATAGACAGATTCCATGGACTTGACCTCAAATAGTTCAAATTGCAACTGGAGCACAGGCTTGGCTTCTTAGTTAACAATTAAAGGGCAGGGTGGAACCTTTAACTTTAAGTAAGGTAGTTGATGTCTTATCTAAGATGAGTTGACTCTTTGAGGTATTATTGCTTAGATGTTTCAACTTTCGTGCAGGTGGGTGTCAAAGCAAGTGATGAAAAAGAAGTGAAGACCAAAGAGTTTAGAGGTCAACTGATCTGACTCCCAAAAGTTGTGTCGACAAAGCTCGCTCTCCATCGTCTATCTAGCAATGGAGGATGGAGGAAGGAAGTTGTTCTGGCGAGCGAGACTAAGAAAGAAAGGGGAGAGAGTTTGAGCCATACAATTTTGACACCAGAAAGGCAGAAACTTTTGCCCCAATTCGAAAGGTGGACAATCTCTTTTATCTTATCTCCATCTGCAATATTTATTACTTCCAAAACTGATATGTCATTCATTTATTACTTTCAGAAATTTATCTATGGATGCTATTTTGTGCCCTCTCTTTTCTTCTTGGGGTGTGCTGCCAAAGTTGGGTTAGGGATGTCATGTCAATCACCATATTTTCGAGTTTGTTCCTAAGTTCCTCAACCTGACCAACCCGACTAGAGTGGTTAACCCAATCCGACCCATTCCATCCCTCGTATCACGAAATTGGGTCTTGGGGTTTAACACTTTTGACTCAACAAATTTTAATGGTGAGGCAAGGCAAGATGACTCACAATTGGATTAAAGCAGAGATGCCCATGTGATGGGGAAAGATTTAAATATACTTGTTTTAAATAATGTTATAAAATATCCTAAGACAAAAAATAATACTCTACAATCAAAAAGTTCAACCAACATAATATCAAAAAAATTCAAAATTTAATATCACTACATGGGTCGTCAACAACTTATTTACTATAACAACAACAATAATAAAAGATAAGTGAATAATTGGGGTGGGGTGGGGCGTGGACATGGACATGGACATGGACATGGAGGAGGAATAAAGTTTTCGTCCCCATCCCAATCTAGTAAACTCTCCTCGCTCCCTCCCCTGTACATCAAAATATTTTTTTAATATATCATAAAAATTTAAACACTATACAAAATTATTAAACACATCTTTAAAACCAACTCAAATTTACTCCTTTATTGGAGTGTTCATGAAAGTTCAGAAACTAAAATGAAATTTCACCCTTCGTTTATATCGTTTAAGAATGGATTGTGAAGTGGAGGAATGAATGAGTGGGTTTTGGCATTTGCATGTGGAAAATTTGGGTACACAACCACTCTAAGCCTCTTCTTGTCATCCAACTCCTATAAACATATGGGCTTCTGATGTTTGTTCATTTCACCTACCAATCCTTTTCTCTCTTTTTAAAGTTTCCTCCTTCAACCTCTCATAATTGCTAATGTTTTATGCCTTTTTGGCCTACACAGCCACACCCAGAGGATCCCATGTTATGACTCACTGTAATGTCCCTTTCGATTCAAACAAATTATTCACTGTTCTCATTCTACCATTCACGTCCTATGACATGTTATCGTTTCTTCCATTATTTGTTATTTTAAAGAAGAGTCTAGTTCTACTTATCTCTATGTATATAAATCATTGATGACGTAGAAATCGTATATAGAAAAGTAGGCAGTTGGTTAGAAGAATAAAATGTCAATAGCTACAAGACTAACATTGTAGATTATGAGTGTGACTGTGGATTATGACCCCTTGGTGCCTTATCTGGCTTCTCTTGGGCTTCTGGTTCATCTAGTTCCTCTACATGTAGGTACAAGTACTTTTCATGCTCTATATGTCCATGTCCATGTTTAGGAGCATGTGATGATGAGGGATCAACCTCAAAAGCATAATATAGTGGAGTATGAAGATATCATGAATCAGCACGGGATCGGTTTCTTCAACTCACGTCGAACACTTTTGGTACAACTTGTTTCATGCCTAATTGTCTCATTACTCTGTTGGATATATGCTAATCAACAACATGAAAGCATATGGGAAAACTTACCGTACACTAGATATCGTGACCGCTTCTACATTAATTAGGTAATGTCGTGATGGCACCGATCTGAAGCTTCCAAATACAATCCTTAGAACCCTTAGAGATGAAACCAATTTAGATCAAGGACAGAAAGATAAGAAAACTTAATATTCTTACCTCAACATTGCCCAATTCAGCCAATCCATACTGCCCGTAGTTTCTCCCATTGTTCATCAACGAGCATAGACAGATTGGGGATAGGAGACTGGTGTGTGGACCAGTGGTGGGGATTTGGAAAACTTCTTTAGAAGTTAATGATTAGAGACGAATGGGGTGTAGGGTCTGTGTAGCGTGAGTGCATGTGTGACTTGAGTACTGTCCTTGGGCGAGATGCTGCTATTGAATCCCTCTTTTATGCTAGAGTTGTCATCATCTCATCATCTTCACAACCTTTATTTTAAACTTCTAACCATCCCAGCCCAACACCCGACTTCAAATAATACCCGACCATACAATCATCGATACGTTATATAGTCTCTCTTTCATGTAGATACGCTATCCCTTCTGTCTCTCCTTGGAGCATACAGATCCACCCAATCAAATGAACAAAAGAACAACAAACGGGTAGGAGAAGAGGAGAACAATATCTAGGCAAGCCCTGAACCAAACTCGAAAACGAGCTGGGAATAACAGGAAGAGTCTAGGAAAGATTCGACATGGAGTGGAAGTACTTGGTCGCTAGAGTTTCCTTTTCCTCGATCGATTATTTATGTTGTTATAGTTGAAAGATGTTATAGGGCTCAATCAAGTGTCAACAGTGGAATGTGGAAGACAAACAGACACTTTTAGAAAGTAGCTTTTTTTTTCCCTTTCCAAATGTTAGTTAGATCAGACCCCCTCCTCTCCTCTCCTCTCCTCTTTCCTTCATTTACACCTTTCTCCACTTTTCTCTCTTCCACAGACTCAGTTCAGCCTCCCATTCCAAGCTTCCAAAGATTCAGAAGAAGAAGAAAATGAGTAAAGAAGAAGAAGAATTAGAATTCTCCCCATTAGCTCAGTTTGTGTCTGAAATCTCCCAATTCTTCTCCTTACTTATCTCACACCCTCTCTATTTCTCTTATTTCCTGTTCTTCTCCCCTTATCTTCTCAGGCTCCTCTCCTTTGTTTCCCCTCTTTTAGGCACCACATTCCTCTTGATCCTCCAGCCCTTTTTCTCCCATACCCACCAAACCCATTTAGATGACCAAACATTCCCTCTCCCTCAGCACCTTGAGTGGTTCAACACCGTCTTCAACGCACCCACTGACATCCCCACAAACCCATTTCCACTTCAAGAACCAGAGATCAACAAACAAGAAGCAAAAGAAGAGGATCGTGAGGATGAAGAGAGTAGAGAAAATGGGATTGAAATGGGTAAGAAGAGCTTTTTGGTGGGGTGTAAAGAGTTTGAAGATGATGAGGATAGAATGGATTTGCTTTGGGAGAAGTATGAGGAGAAGGATGAAAAGAGCTGCAATTTAAAGAAGGATTTGAGGAGTTTGGTGAATATTCAGAAGGAAATGGAAGAAGAAGAAGAAGAAGAAGAAGAAGGAGAAACTGGGAAAATTTGCTGCTTACAAGCTTTGAAACTTTCGACTGGAAAAATGAGATTTGGAATGGGGAAGAAAAGTGGTTTGAAGAAGATTTCAAAAGCTTTTAAAGGGCTTAAATTGTTGCATCATCTCGCTACCACTCGTAAGAACAAGACATGAACATCGTTGTGTATTTTTGTTGTTTTTTTCTCTTTTTCTTTTTTTAATTCTATTTTTTCGCCTAAAAAATGAAATAATTTATTTTAATTTTACATTTTGGAACTAAATTTAGAATCTCTCAATTATGAATTGGAATTATTGATAAATATTTGGGAGAATTCCTAGAAATTAAAAATAAAATTCATAAAAATAAGTTAAAAATCCATGTATTTTTAAACTAATATAATAAAAATATAGATTAATATTAATATAATATCTTGCACTGAATTAATAATTAATATTATTTTATGTAATTTTTGTTTCACATATCTCTCATTTTACTAAAAGAACGATAGTTACATTTTAAAGTTGAAATAAATTTTTTAAATTTTTATTCAATATAGAAGCATTTTGGGTAAATTTAATAAAATTTAAAATCCTTTTATGAACATCAATATTAATTATTAAAGAAACCATTTGTAAAATTAAATATATTTTTAACTCAGAATTATTGTAGTTCACTTTACCACGTGTCATCAAGTTGTCGCACGTGGGCTTCTACGTCATACATGAGGTGGCATGGCAAAAAATAGATCAAGTATAATTTTTTTTAAAGCATGAACTTTTCAATATTAGGCGTGGATTTGGAAATTTTAAAATTATATCATGGATAAATAAATTTAATAATAATTATACAATTGATTAATCAATTAAAAAGTTTTAATAAAGTGGTCTAAGCAAATGATTAATAGCACCATCGATCTTAACAAGACAATCTTCCAATATCTTCTGCTCATATAGATAACGAATAACATATGGCTTGAGATGGTTGATGTAGATATGGATTATGGATACAACCCATCAAAATACAAACTTAACAATTTCATAAAAAAAAAAAAATCGACTTTATAGATTGAATCGAAATTCTAAAAGAAAAATTATTTTTAGACCACGTTCAACAATTGCAAGGATCAAAAAAATATCCAGACTAACTTAGTAGATAAATCAAGAATACAAAAACAAAAACAGCAATTGGGCCCGAGAATGCGATCGCATTATAAGGTCGCAATTGAACATATCAAAGTTCAAATTGACGTAACATGAAACCTATTAGTCCGAAAGCATCCGAAAGCATTGTGCTTCAGGACCCCATAGTAACAACAAAAAGTGTGCTAGACTATTAGCAGGAGTCGAAACTATCCTTCCCAAGACTTTATAAGAGAAATTGAAGCATGAAAGGAACGAGCACAGCCAACCAGTTTTTCATTTCGGGTTCAGGATTTGGATGGCAATGGCGCATTCTATAATTAACAATAATACACCGACATGATTCAAAATCCATTAAATCAAGCAATTTTTTAAGGGGGGAAAACTTGATGGATCTAACCACATATTCAAAGGTAGGCCCCCAAAATTAATCGTTGAAGCTGACTAGCTATAATGCCACCGACAGATCTCATATCATCCTAAAAAAAAATTATATAATTACTTTGAAACTCAAATATCCCTATTTAACAAATAGAAGGGAGTCAAAATGATGGTTTTTATAGGCGCTACAAATGGTTAATGCTTTCCTTTGGACAAGCAGAGCCAAGATCTCTCCTCCTATAACACTCTATGGATGAACAGGCAGGCAGGCATTATCAGACAATTTAAAGGCCAAGATTGCAGGCTTGGACAAACTCTAAATCATAATCTACATACTTGGTCCAATATGGCCGAAATTGGGTGATGGCAATGTCCAGCCATGGCTTCATGTTCCCATTGAAGTGCACAACTGCAGCATTTTCAATCTCGCTTTTGCTGATGCTGGGATTGTAGCCGAGGCCGAGGACGTGCCATGTCTTGTCCAGTGGCTTTGTTGTGGAGTAATATGTGATTAAACCAGGAGGCAATGTCCCTAGTTTCCATAAGGTCCGATTTTCGTTCTGCACGCAACAAAAACTAAAAGGTTAGAGATAAGGAGCGGATGGGAGAAAGAACATACTTTTGGCTCCAGTGATTGATTGGAATGGAGAGCTCTTGAAAGAACTATTAAAAGTATAGAATCAAACATCAAAAAGATTTGTCACTAATCACTTCAGTATTGTTGCTATAAGAAACACTCCCTAATGCCTAACTTGTCCAACAGACAATTTCTTGTGACATCCTATATGGGTTGGGGGAGGGAATGAAACATTTTCCAAGTTTACGCATTCTAAAATCTTGAGGAAAAGCCCAAAGAACAATATTTGCTCGTGGTAGGCTTGGGCTATTATAAATGGTATCAGAGTCGTAAACTGGGTAGTGTGCCAGCGAGGATGCTAGGCCCCAAAGAGGGTGGATTGCGAGATCCCCATTGGTTGGAGAGGGGAATGAAGCATTCCTTATAAGAATGTGAAAACTTCTCACTAGCAGACGTATTTTAAAACCTTGAGAAGAAGCCAGCAGGCTTGGTTTGTTACTCAGCTTCGATTGTAACTTGAAAGTAAGTCAGATATTTGAAATGGGACAGACCAAACATTTGCTGAAAAATTTATTACCTCGGAAATGAACATTCAGAAAACAAGTCGAGAGAATCAGTTCGTCTTACCATATTCTGCCAGTAGTGGTATTCTTCTGTGCATTTTTCCCTTCTCCAAGCATCCAAATCGAAAAAGTTCATTCCATAAGCCCATGCACAAGCCTTGGGGTCAAACTTCTCCTTGATTAATGGATGTGAAAAATTCATGTACTGTGCGTATCTATGGAACGAGCCAAAACAGGTCTCCACCGCGCCAATTACTTTTCCATCCATATCGATCTTCCACAACCCGGTCAAGTCCTTCTGGACTACTATGTCATCATCCAAAAACAGAATTCTGTGCAGTTTTGGGTACATCTCAGGTAAGTAAAACCGCAAATGGTTCAAGATTGATAGATATTTGGGATTTCTGAACTTCATATTTGTTGTATCCTTCGTTGCATTTTCAACACTATTCTCAAAGTAAAACCTCTGTAAATTTGCAGACTCTAACTGACGAAGCACTGGAACGTAGGAAGAATTCAAGAACTTATAATCCTCCACTGCCTTGACTTCAACGTGAGCTCCATTATAATCCTTCAGTTTGAACATAACTTGCATTGCCCCAAGATTCATCTTGTCAGTAACAACATGGAAAACATGCTTGCTTGGTTCTTGAGCATTCTTAACAGCTGAATTAACGACCACCGATGCAGCAACTACGTTGTCTGAGAATATTGCATAATGGTAAAGGTTTGGATCCTCTATCTCTGGTGGTACTGGTTTTCCTACATCTGAATATTTATCTGGATGTGCAATTCTCTCCTCCATCAACCTCATTGAAATGCAGTGCAAGCTTTTTGGAAGAGATTTTGCAGCGATTAAACTCGAAAAAGCTCCTTGTTTCTTGGCTTTTGTCAACAGCTCATTCACTGCAAAAATCGTGTCCTTCAACTTCTGGATCTTGAGTTGGTTGTCAAATGATTCTTTTGCTTCAGCAATCACTTGTCTCGTAACTTTAATACGCTCTTTTACCTCTTTCTCAAACTGACGAACCAAAGCCTCATCAACGGAAGCCGTTTCGGGCTCAAAGAGACTACGATAAGTTGGTTTATTATTGAGATCCGTATAGTTCTGAGAAAGATCCGCAAATACCCTAACAAGCTTCGCGTACTCCAGTTTAAGCCTTCGAGCATAAGAGGCATAGGCGTGAAGCAGAGCCCGATGGTCATCGGCCTGCTTCCGGATCTGATCCAGCCGCGGTTTGAGAGGGTCCGATTTCACAGCTAATGGAAGCCTCGTTCTCGAATGGATCCGATAAGGAACAGAATCGTAACCCTAATTTCATTAAACCACACAAAACACATTCACTTCAGAGCACAACTCAAAACACTCCCCAACGAAATTCCAGAGAAAATAAACCCCAAAACAAACGTTAGTGACCGAAAAAAGCAAACGTTTCATTACAAACTCGAGAAATGCACACTTCGCGAAACAAAAAATGAAAAAAACACATCAATTTCAAGAAAGAACATATAAGGAAACCGGATCCAAACACTCCAACACAAAACAATACATAATTAGAGGCAAAACACCAAAAGTGAAAAGTGCAATAAAACGAGATCATAAGGATTACCAGAAATTCAAATCAATTGAGAATGAGGAAGAACAGGAGAACTTACAACAGGAGGCGCGAGATCGGAAGAGTGGGTGGAGAAAGTGAAGAAGAAGGAGAAAGAGAGAAAGATGAAGAATGCAAGGGATAAGGCGGAGACGAGGACTCTGAAGGAGGAGATTCTTCTGAGAAAGGTCTGAAGAAGAGGATCTCCATTAGCGGCTCTTCCACCAATCCGCAGGTTCGCCATTGTAGAAGAAGAAGCAGAGAGAGACTTGGGAGCAGAGAGAGATTTGGGGGAGAGAGTGAGAGTGGGATACAACTAAGAGACGGTGTTTAATGAGAACAGGGAATTGAAAAGCGCGTGATTGGAGGAGTCCCTATCAAAAATTAAAACTTGTTGTCATAATTAATTACTATTTTTATATTATTTAAACCAACTTAATCTCAACTTAATTAACATTTAATGAAATTTTCGGTATTAATTAATCATATATTTCATTTAGTGATTATAAATTTCATGATAATTGGTGAGAATTTGCAAAAATTGGGTTTCTCCGACCGTTTCTTTCCATTAATATATTCATTTTATAAAAATAAAAAATATATTAAACAAGGCATTAATTCTTTTATCAAAATTTTAATATGGTTAGGTAGAGTCGAGGGTAAGGACGGGATAGAAAATACAATTCTCATTTTCAACTCTGTTTAGGGACGGGATAGGAAATACAATTCTCGTTTTCAACTCCGTTTAGCTAACTGGGAGAAA